AAGTCTTATTCTTCATCAAAGAATCATACTCTTCTTGCATGGCTAGTTTCCACTACCTAGAATCTCTACTTTCCACAGCTTCCTTAACCGTTGTAGGTTCCTCTTCAACTTCTTTAGCAACTTGAAAAGCAAATGCTACCATATCAGCATGTGAGTATCTCCTAGGCAGTCTAATTTGCCTCATTTCCCTATCTCTAGCTAGCTAATAGTTTTGTAGTTCATTATCATCATCATGGGCTTGTTCATCATCACTATCTTCTAAACCATGTTCCTCCTCCTGCGGTTGAGAAATTCCTTGTTCATAATCTGACTGTAGACTGTCATGATTAATAATAACAGCTTCACAACCTAAGTCTAGATTAATCACTTCTGTTTTCCCTTTGATTTCACTCCTTTTCTCACTCAACCCACCTGGTTCTTCCTCATTAAACCTAACATCCCTATTGACTATACATCTTTTCTTTCCAATATCCCAACATTAATACACTTTAACCCCATTAGGATAACCAAGAAAAAGACACCTACTAGCCCTTGGTTGTAATTTGTCATATTTTTCATGCATAAACACAGTACAGCCAAAAACTCTTAGGTTACTATAATTGGCAGGATGTCCAGACTATTTCTCTATCGGTGTTTTGAAATCAATGGCCGAGAAGGGTATTCTATTAATTAGAAAAACTGTTGTGTGGGCAGCCTCTGCCCAGAATTTGGTGGGGAGTTTGGCATAGGATAATAGACTTCTCACATTCTCTAAGATAGTCCTATTCATTCTTTCTACTAGGCCATTTTGTTGAGATGTATACCTCACTATCCTATGCCTCATAATTCCACTATCTTTACACAATTTATCAAACTCTTCGTTAACAAATTCCAGCCCATTATCTGTTCTTAGTTTTCTAATCTTCTTCCTAATATGATTCTCAATCAAGATCTTCCATTTTTTGAATTTGCTAAAGGCTTCCCCTTTATTCTTCAAAAAAATATATCCAAACCCTTCTAGAAGAGTCATCTATAATGCTAATGAAGAATCTACAGCCCCCCAAAGAAAGATATTTAGTTTGCCGCCATGCATCAGAATGAATTTACTCAAGAACAGACTTAGAACTGTGCTTCCCAATATTAAACCTAATTCTGCTCATTTTCCCATAAACACAATGATCACAGAATGACAGCCTCTCTATTTTGTCTCCTCCTAACACCTTTTGCTCACTTAGCTCAACTAAGCCCTTCTCACTAATATGCCCTAGCCTCCTATGCCACAAAGAAGTCTTATTTGGTTTCTGTGATGACACAACTGTTGTTCCAATGATGGTTGAACCATTTAGAACGTACAACCCATTTTTATTTTCTCCTTTCATTACTACTAGGGACCCTTTTGTGACCTTAAGGACTCTACCTTGAGCTTTATAACTAAACCCATTAGAATCTAGACTTCCTAAGGAAATTAGGTTCCTTTATAACTCAGGTATAAATCTGACCTCTGTGAGTAACTTAGAACTGCTATCATGTAAGCTTAACCTAACATCTCCAATGCTTAAGACATTACACACAACATTATTACCCATCAGAACTTTCTAAGATTCTAATTTCTTAAAGTTCATCAGAAAACTCCTATTTGGAGTCATGTGAAAAGTACACCCAGAATATAAAATCCATTCAGAATCAGTTTTCTTATCAGAAGCAACCATAACATCAGAACTTTCATATCCATCAGAGGCTACATCTACACTTCCACTAGCCTCTTTTTCTCCTAGTTTCCTTTTCTTATCTGGATAGTCTCTTTTGAAATGCCCTTCTTTATGACAGTAGAAACACTTCCTCCCAAACTTGGATTTTGACTTAGACCTACCCCTGGAGTGACCTTTCTTAAACACTTTCTTTTCAGATCTGCCCCTTACATTAAACCCTTCACCATCTAACTTACCCTTTTTCCTAAACTCAGCATCTTTGGCAGTAATGGCTACTACTACTTCATCTAGTTTAAGGGTATGTCTACCATACTTAAGGGTATCAACAAAATTAGCATACGTCTTGGGTAATGAGTTAATGAGTATACTCAACCTTGACACTTAGACCTTCTAAATCTTGGACCAATTTCATGAAATCATTCATATTTTCTCCTAATGACTTATTTTTATCCATTTTAAAACCAAAAATTTCTGTTTTAAAACTAGCCTATTAGGAGAAGACTTTAACAGATACAAAGAGTCTAGTTTTTCCCAAACCCCTGCTGGTGTGGTCATCTTCTTTATTTCTCTCAAAACTTTGTCCCCCAGACCTAGAATTAGGGTACTATGAGCTTTATCTAGCAGATTTTTCTTCTCCTTCTCACTCAAAGACTCTGGTAAGCTATCCTCACCCTCTAAGGTAGTTGACAATCCATCCTTAACTAGAACAACCCTCATCTTCATCTTCCATAACCCATAATCATTGTCTCCTGTGAACTTCTCTACTTCAAACTTAGACATTACAAACCTCACAGCTACTAAGAGATTAAAAACCCCAAAATTCAAGACCTACAAAACCCCAAAATCATGAAACCCGTAACCAATAGTTTAGATTAAACCTTAGATAGTACCAAACACGATCAATCCCCAACACCCAGACTTAATCTAGCTCTGATACCACTTGTAGGACTCAAGACTAATCGAATTAGAGTAAATCAGATTCCTAGGTTCTGGTTTAGCAAGAACACAAACAGTTAATTATGAGTAATCAAAAGAGCATAAAGAGAAAAACAGAGAAAGTAAAGAACACACATGGAATTATAGTGGTTCAGTGATCAATTGATTACCTACATCCACTCTTCAGGGCAGTAGAGAAAGATTCATTATGGAGAAAGAAAACCTTACAGAGTTTATAGCTCTCTCTTTACATGAAGATCTAGATCCCCAAGAAAACCCCTCTATAATACACCTGAAATAACCCAGATGTCCCTCACCTCTCATACATGAAAAAGCCAAAACATCAACGACCATTTATACACAAAGAAAGGAATAAAGGAATAACAAACTAGACTCACCATCACCGTTTGATCCCATCCAGCGATCTTCAAAGCTTCAACTCAACCATTTTTGTAACAACCTTTCTTTCTCTGTAACCAAGAGGGAATAATCTTGAAAGAACAAAAATGGGAGAAGCAATTAGATCTAACAAATATCCCAATTGGGAAATCCCAAAAAAGTCCCTACCTTTGTAAAAAATGGCTTTGACCAAACATATTCAAGGCTGACTTCCACGTAAGCACAAAACAGATGTCACATCACCACACCAAGTAAATTAAGATATGACAATCAAGAAACAGACCATATGAAAGAACATATGTAGATGCATCAGAATTATAATTAATCCATCATTCAATAAGAGGTAAGATTCTCAATATCTGGAATTGCAATGATTTAAAGCTCATCAATATTCCCAATTAATAGATAAATTGGTTGAAACATGAATAAGCATTCAACATTTTCTGTCACTACTTCAGTTTCTGAGTTGCGAAACAAAGTTAAATAGCTTCTTTGGTCCTATAAAGCTAACTAGTTTATCATTTTAATATTTCAATGGAACCATTTGAGTTCAGGTTTTCTCTTCTCTGGAACTTGCCAAGTGGGAAGTTCCTCAAAAAGTGGCCCAATTTGAAAGAACAAAAATTGCGGAAAATAACCAGCTGGGAAAGCGAAAGTATTGAAACAATATAGCATTCAAAGAAGAAAGCTATTTTATTACTGTTTACATAAAAAAAAAAAAATCTTCACCACAGCCAAATACACACAATAAAAGAAAACAAAAAAGTAAATAAGACACTTGATTTATCCTAATTCGTTTTGATTAAGGAACTATGTCCAGTATTCAAATAAAAAATTTTCATTAAATTTCATAATTCTACAACAATTATAATGAATAATCACGGTAACTCACTTTTACTCTCTATTTTTTATTACTTTAGGTTTCTCACTATTACATAAAATATATATAATAGAAAACCGCCATTTGGGCTTACCCAAATCTAACCCGATAAACTAACAAGAAGTCCAATTAAAAACCCCCACAACACTATATATTTGGTTCACGAAGAGTGGTTTCATGTCTCTCTGTGGCTTGATGTATATAGATCTTCCACGCAGAGCATGAGTAGCCATATTTTCAACGTCTGTAGGTAAACAATCGCATATTTGCATAACTACAATTTTCGCTTATCTATTTACTTCATTAGTTAGACAATCCTCCAGCGAAGAAAGTTGTCTAAAACAATTGTTTTTTGCTTAAAATAACTTCAAAACATGTTAACACATTCTTCACAGTAAAGTTGTTCCGAGATTCTTCTACTAAGACTTTCTTAATATCTAAGCAAATTATAGAGTGGTTGATATGGTACAAGCAAGAATCAGAACTAGAAAATAATATATTCAGATGTATTACCTTTCAATATTCTTAAATAACCAGTCATTAAGCAACGGGAGTTGCAATGATATAAATAATTGCATCGACGTTCGTTAAGAATTTCTCTGATTACGAGTAGGAAAACATTGCATAAAGTGATAATAACCTTTTGGCAATTTCTTTTGCACCATTTTACTTTATCTCAAGCAATTTCTTTTAACCTTTCTAAAGTAATTTAGCTGTGTAGCATAAAAAGCACTCCTTCAAATAGAACAATTAGCTTTTGCAAAAGTATGAATCAAAAGATGCCTTCGGAAGGATGATTGGATTTGTCTACATATTCCGCTTACTTCATAAAAACTACGCAATCAAGATTTATAAAGAGATTGTTTGATGTACAAACCAGATACATTTCTTTATTTCTGAAAAAACAAAAGATATATATGATACCACCAAAAGAAAGTATTGAAACAAGCTAATCTTTAAGTACAGGGGGATTTCAGGAACCAAACTTATCCTTCGTGTTGACATCTTCCTGCTCGCGAATTCCTTTTCGTTGATTTGACTGTGAGATAATTGCTTGCTGTCCAGAGCTACTATAGCTTCCATAGCAGCTATCTTGTTTATCCAACTATCTTTTGCTGCTGTTTTGATGCCTCTCCAATGCTGTTTTCTGCTCGTACGTGACTTGGCACTGTGTTTTTATCGTCTTTCTTGATGCCATCTGGCTTGGTGACACTCTTTTGTTGTTCCTGTGACAGGATTTGTCCACCTTGTCCAAGGCTGCTAGAATTTACAATTACTGGAGAGCTTGTTCTTGTGTTTATTTGGTTTTCGATGTTCTCTGCTTGCTTGGGAACATCCTTTTGCTGCTCTGATGATGGATTTCGAGCACTGCTCACTATATTCGGAAGGCTGGTGTCTATATTTGTATTATCTTTGTTCTTAAAACCCGGTTGCTTACCAAAATCCTTTTGTTTCTTAATCTTCAGTTGTGGACCTTTTGGCTGCTCTTCCAATGAATGTTCAGAGTTACTATTGTTTCCCTTCTGGGGATTGAGATCCTTGCCATTTTTAACATCTCCCTTTGGTAAAGAATTGTGAACAGGCTGTTTTGTGCCACCAGTTTTCTTTCCCAAATCCTGATCAGAGCTGCCTGAGGTACCCAGCAGTTTATCCTTCTCATTCTTCAGTGGTGGACCCTTTGGCTGCTCTTTTGATGAATGTTCTAAGTTACTATTGTTTTCCTTCCGGGGATTGAGATCCTTGCCATTTTTCTTTGTGTCTTCTTGTCGAACAGCTCCTTTTAGTGAAGAATTGTGAACCGCCTGTTCTGTGCCACCAGTTTTCTTTCCCGAATCTTGATCACAGCTGCCTGAAGTTCCCAGCAGTTTATCGTTCTTGCTCTTCTCTCCAACTCCAGGGCTTTCACTGTTGTGTTCTTGCTTCTGGTTTAGTTGAACTGATGCCTGTCCAGAGCTGCTGCTCTTATTTTTTGCCTTAGCCGCGCTGTCATTTGCAGATTGTTGACCCGAGACCTGTCCAAAATTGCTCTGTTTTTTGGCAGACGCATTATCATTTGCAGATTGTTGACCCGACGCCTGTCCAGAGGTGCTCTTATTCTTTTCAGTTGTTGCAATGTCATTTGCAGATTGTTGATCTGAGCCCTGTCCGGAGTTGCTCTTATTTGTTGCAGTAGTCGCGTTTTCATTTGCAGATTGTTGACCCGACGCCTCTCCAGAGCTGCTCTTTCTCTTTTCAGTTGTTGCAATGTCATTTGCAGATTGTCGATCTGAGATCTGTCCAGAGTTGCTCTGATTTGTTGCAGTACTCGCGTTGCCATTTGCAGATTGTTGACCCGAAACCTGTCCAGAGCTGCTCTTGTTTGGAGTAGTAGCGCTGCCATCTGCAGATTGTCCATCATTCATTTCTGTATGTGTGGACTGTTTTCCATTCCCAGCTTGACCCTCAATTTTTGAAGAACTTTGTTTATCACAACAACAGCAACAACAACACCAGTAACAACACCAGTTACAAAAACTTTTCCTGGAATCTGGTTGATCAAGACTATTGCTTTTGTCAAAGCCATTTTTTGCCTTGGCCTGACGCTTCGACCTAGTAGCCATATTTTCAGAGTTTGTATGTAAATAATTGTGTTGGTTTCTAACGGAAAATTTCCCTGGTGTATTACTTAATAAGTTTAAACGATCCTCCTAAAAAATTGTCTAGAAAAATATTTCTATTGGAATTACTTCAAAACAATGTGTTAGAACAAGCTGCACGGTAAAGTTGTTCCAAGATTCTTCCATTAAGAATTGCTTAATTTCTAAGCAAATTGTAGACAAAATGATAGAATACAAGCAAGATGCCCGCCTTTTGTATTTCATTTCGCTTGAGACCCCCTTTTCGCTGCTTTTGTGATGAATCTTCGAAGCTACTATTCATTACATTTGGGGTGGGTTTGGATACTCATAGTAACATCTTCTTCTGACAATAATTGTAAACGTTGATCTGGGCTGCAATTTTGTTACCTAAGGTGGTCCTGCGTCTTGTCTGCAGGACTTTCACTGCTGATTTTGCTTGTTTTGCAACAATTCACCTGGTTTATCTGTTCCATCATTTTCCATTTTATCAATCTGTCATTGCTACTGAAATCTTCCAATGGTAACTCGAAGCTTCCATTGCTTTTTTCCTTTAAGATAATGATTAAATCGTCAGAGCTGCCTGAAGTCTGCATCTGCATTTAACCCTTCTTCTAATCTCTATTTCCATCAGCACTTCAGCTCTGCATAAAAAAATTTCACCTTATAACAAAACCAGCTTAACTTTAACCTAAGATAAAGAAATTATGATAGGATTAGTATTGTTTTGTACAAAGCATGCCTGTTTTTTGGAAATGTACAAGAAACTATAACTTTTTAATTTATAAAACATTTAGTTTGCAAAGTGAGAATCAAAATGCCTCCAGAAGAAAGTTGGATTTGTCTTATCGATCCAAAAACTTTATTTTTTTCTTTTTGATATCTAGAAATCCTGAATTGCTTTGAAACTTGAGTATGAAACTGGATTAGAGACCCGTCGAACCTTACAAGTCAGACTTAAATCTTTGAGAAATCGAGAAATAATGACCTTGACAAGGTGTCATGGCTCAAAATCCAAACCCGATAGAAGCAAACTACATACTGATCATTCGACTCAAACCTCATAGGTATAAAAAATATTGTTCTTAAGATACAATTCTAAGAAGATTTTAAAAGTTTATGAATCAGGTTTGTTCATTTCAAAACCTGGCAAGTTGGAGTTCCTCAAACAAGCCTGGCGAGGTATTGAAAGAAAGGCTAGATATGAATCTATGCAAATACATTACAAAGAACAAGAGAAGTTACAACCTCAATTACCAATCTAAGCCACACATTCTCAATCAAAATTTCCAAAGTGAACGTTATCACTCATAAAATCAGATGACCGTCATTTAGAGCCCAACACATAATCCATTTTGTAATCTTGACTGCAAACCATTCTTGTTTTTATCTGGCAAAGCGGTTTTGTGTGTGTGGGTGTTTTGAGTTTCAGCTTGACCTCAGTTATGGAAGAACTCTTTTAGCCAAATCTGACCCGACCAGGGCGAACCTTTGCCAGAAACTTCATTTAGGACGCTGCTTTCTCAGGGCTATTGTTAGGATGAAAGATTTTTTCAGGGTCATTGTTTAGGGGGTTGTCTATAGAGAAATTTATATAACTTTCCTGGAAAGTTACTTGAAAATCTGTTTGTTCATTCTTTTTGTAAGTTTAATATTCCAAGATTCTTCAACAAAATCACCATCTGTGCGCATATATTGATGCATTATCAGACTATACTTAACTAGTCTCAAACAACCCTTGCATAGGATGTTGTTAAACACCAGACCAGGACCGTCAGGTCGGACCGGTACAGGACCCGGCAGCTTCTCCGTCCGGTTTTCAAGGGGGTTTTTGTAATTTCAAATTCTATAGGGACTACCTGAAATTTTATATGGTTTTTGGATATTTATCAAAAGTTTAGGATTAATTGGTAATTTTGGGTTTTGAAATAAATAAAAATTGTAGGGACAACTAAAAATTTTGGGGTATTTTGCATATACTAAAATTAAGAGATAATAATATTTTTTAATTAAATTATTGCTGAAATACGGTCCAACGATTGACCAGTGACCGGGCAACAAAACGGGTTGCCCTCCGGTCCAGTTTTAAAAATGCATGTTAAACATTTCATGAAAGGTAAGTTGTTGCAAGATTCTTCACATAAGTTGCTTAATTCTTTGCACTATGATCTCGAAAGCAGGTGAAGATAGGACAGTCAGAAAACACTGTGAAAGAATATTGTGATCACTATTCAATCTTATTTGCTTACAACATCCTATGCATTCTGCTCATGGCTGTTGGAGGACTAGTGTATATTTTCATCTTTGAAGCTGTTGCCTCAGAACCTGTCGCGTAAGGCTGATATTTGCTGTTGTTGGAGGGTGGGTGTCTGCATATCTATCTTCTTTGAAGCTTGATGCCAAGCAACCTTATGCGCAACACTGCTATTGGTATATTTATCATGTTTGTTGAAGTCTGCTTGCACGACAACTTCTTGCCCGAAGCTACTCTTCGTTGTTTGTGTTTTAGCATCCTCATCAGAGGTTGCCTGAAGTTTCCAGCGGCATAGAACCCTTCTTCCAATCTCCATTTCCAGGGCTTCCAAAGTGTCTCTCCCTTGTTTTGCAATGATTGGCTTGTTTAAGGCTGCCACCAGTCTGCTATAAAATCCTAATTAGAGCTTCCGGAAGTTTCTGGTGGTTCATAACTGCTGAATTCTTGGTTGATTCTGTTGGTCATATGCCTGTCCGGAGCTGCTATTATTCGTCAATGTTGTTCTATTGTCGTCTGCATATCGTCCACCATTCTTGGCAGCGTAATCAGTGTGCGAAAACATTTTGTTTGTTATCCAGCAGAGACATTCGGATAACTGGCCTGTTATCCATTTCAAGATTGACCCTCGGTTGTGGAAGAACTTTTCTTACCACAACACCACTCAAAAACTTTCCCAGCAACTTGGTTCATGACTAATGATTTTCCAGGGACATCTTGTGCAACGCTTACCAGTAGCAGGATCTATCTTCACGTCCCGTTTTCCCTTTTTCCAAGCTGACTTTGCATGACTTGCTGCAGAGAAACGGACGCGTGTGAGCTCCATGTTTATTTGCAGGTCTGACGTGCGTACATTGTCCTGACGGGGGCAGGTTACTCGTAACGTAACTCTTCCCACGTCAGCCCTTTGTTTTCCCGGGTATAACAAAACTCAAAAATAATATATACAGATGTATAACGTATTACCTTCAATATTCTTAAATAACCAGTCATTAAGCAACGGGAGTTGCAATGATATAAATAATTGCATCGATCTTCGTCAAGAATTTCTGTCATTATGACTAGGAAAACACTGCATAAAGTAATGATAACCTTCTGGAAATTTCTTTTGCATCATTTCACTTTATCTCAAGCAATTTCTTTTTACTTTCTAAAGTAACCATGATTAATCTGTGTAGCATAAAAAGCACTCCTTCAAATAGAACATTTAGCTTTTGCAAAAGTATGAATCAAAAGATGCCTCCAGAAGGATGATTGGATTATCTACAAAATCCACTTACCTCATAAGAACTACACAATCAAGATTTATAAAGAGATTGTTTGATGTACAATCCAGATACATTTCTTTATTTCTGAAAAAACAAAAGATATATGCAATACCACCAAAAGAAAGTATTGAAAGAACAGCTGTATATGAATGATGAATCTATGTATATTACCTTTACAGAGAACAATAAAGAAGTTAATTTTAATGTACAAGGGAATTTTAGGAACCAAACTTATCCTTCGGGTTGACATCTTCCTGCTCGCGAATTCCTTTTCGTTGATTTGACTGTGAGATAATCGATTGCTGTCCAGAGCTACTATGGCTTCCATAGCTGCTATCCTGCTTTCCAACTATCTTTTGCTGCTGTTTTGATGCCTCTCCAATGCTGTTTTCTGCTTCTACGTGACTTGGCACTGTGTTTTTTACATCTTTCTTGATGCCCGCTGGCTTGGTGACACTCTTTTGTTGTTCCTGTGACAGGATTTGCCCACCTTGTCCAAGGCTGCTAGAATTTGCAATTATTGGAGAGCTTGTTCCTGTGTTTATTTGGTTTTCGATGTTCTTTGCTTGCTTGAGAACATCCTTTTGCTGCTCTGATGATGGATTTCTGGCACTGCTCACTATTTTCGGAAGGCTGGTGTCTATATTTGTATTATCTTTGTTCTTAAAGCCCGGTTGCTTACCAAAATCCTTTTGTTTCTCAATCTTCCGTGGTGGGCCTTTTGGCTGCTCGTCCAATGAATGTTCAGAGTTACTATTGTTTCCCTTCTGGGAATTGAGATCCTTGCCATTTTTCTTTATGTCTTCCTGTCTAACATCTCCCTTTGGTAAAGAATTGTGAACCGGCTGTTCTGTGCCACCAGTTTTCTTTCCCAAATCCTGATCAGAGCTGCCTGAAGTTCCCAGCAGTTTATCCTTCTTGCTCTTCTCTCCAACTCCAGGGCTTTCACTGTTGTTTTCTTGCGTCTGGTTCAGTTGAACTGATGCCTGTCCAGAGCTGCTTCTCTTATTTTTTGCATTAGCCGCACTGTCATCTGCAGATTGTTGACCCGAGGCCTGTCCAAAATTGCTCTGTTTTTCTGCAGACGTGTTATCCTTTGCAGATTGTTGACCCGACGCCTGTCCAGAGCTGCTCTTACTCTTTTCAGTTGTTGCAATGTCATTTGCAGATCGTTGATCTGAGTCCTGTCCAGGGTTGCTCTTATTTGTTGCAGTAGTGGCGTTGTCAATTGCAGATTGTTGACCAGATGCCTGTCCAGAGCTGCTCTTATTGTTTGGAGTAGTAGCGCTGCCATCTGCAGGTTGTCCACCATTCATTTCTGTATGTTTTCCATTCCCAGCTTGACCCTCAATTTTTGAAGAACTTTCTTTATCACAACAACAGCCACAACAACACCAGTAACAACACCAATCACAAAAACTTTTCCTGCAATCTGGTTGAGCAGGACTGTTGCTATTGTCAGAGCCAATTTTTACCTCGTATCCTGTGGCCTGACCCCTCAACATCTCAGTAGCCATATTTTCAGAGTTTGTATGTAAATAATTGTGTTGGTTTTTAAAGGAAAATTTCCCTGGTGTATTAATTCATAAGTTTAAACGATCCTCCTAAAAAATTGTCTAGAAAAATATTTCTCTTGGAATTACTTCAAAACAATGTGATAGAATATGCTGCACCTTAAAGTTGTTCCAAGATTCTTCCATTAAGAATTGCTTCATTTCTAAGCAAATTGTAGACAAAATGATAGAATACAAGCAAGACCGAGAACAATAAAATATAAATAGAATATTTGCAGATACATTCTCAGAATAAGTACAGACTGTTGCCTTTTCTATCCCCACATTTTAGCGCCTGCATATCTATTATCTTCAATTGTGCCCGCTTGATTAAGAACATGTTTTTGCTTCTCATTGATCTTTGACAGTAGTCCTGCTTGCTGCCAATGATTTTCTGTGCCCGCCTTTTGTATTTCATTTCGCTTGAGACCCCCTTTTCGCTGCTTTTGTGATGAATCTTCGAAGCTACTATTCATTACATTTGGGGGTGGTTTGGATACCTCATAGTAACATCTTCTTCTGACAAATAATTGTAAACCTGTTGATCTGGGCTGCCAATTTTGTTACCTAAAGGTTGGTCCTGCGTCTTGTCTGCAGGACTTTCACTGCTGATTTTTGCTTGTTTTGCAACAATTCACCTGGTTTATCTGTTCCATCATTTTCCATTTTATCAATCTGATCATTGCTACTGAAATCTTCCAATGGTAACCTCAAAGCTTCCATTGCTTTTTTCCATCTAAGATAATGATTAAATCCTGATCAGAGCTGCCTGAAGTCTGCATCTGCATTTAACCCTTCTTCTAATCTCTATTTCCATCAGCACTTCAGCTTCTGCATAAAAAAATTTCACCTTGATAACAAAACCAGCTTAACTTTAACCTAAGATAAAGAAATTATGAATAGGATTAGTATATGTTTCTGTACAAAGCATGCCTGTATTTTTTGGAAATATGTACAAAGAAACTATAACTTCTTTAATTTATATAGAACATTTAGCTCTTGCAAAAGTGAGAATCAAAAGATGCCTCCAGAAGAAAGATTGGATTTGTCTACATAATCTGGGGAGTATCCAAAAACTTTAATTTTTTTCTTTTTGATAATCTAGAAATCCTTGAATTTGCTTTGTAAACTTGAGTATGAAACTGGATTAGAGACCCTGTCGAACCTTACAATGTCAGACCTTAAAATCTTTGAGAAATCGAGAAATAATGACCTTTGACAAAGTGTCTATGAGAGGGCTCAAAATCCAAACCCGATAGAAGCAAACTACATACCTGATCATTCGACTCAAACCTCATAGGTATAAAAAATATTGTTCTTAAGATACAATTCTAAGAAGATTTTAAAAGTTTATGAATTCAGGTTTGTTCATTTCAATAACCTGGCAAGTTGGAAGTTCCTCAAACAAGCCTGGCGAGGTATTGAAAGAAAGGCTACATATGAATCTATGCATAATACATTTACAAAGAACAAGAAAGAAGTTAACCATCAATTACCAATCTAAGCCACACTTTCTCAATTAAAATTTCCAAAGCTGAACGTTTTATCACCCATAAAATCAGATGACCTGTCATTTAGAGCCCAACAGTAATCCATTTTGTAATCTTGTGCTGCAAAACCATTCTGTTTTTTTATCTGGCAAAGCGGTTTTTGTGTGTGTGGCTTGTTTTGAGTTTCAGCTTGACCTCAGTTATGGAAGAACTCTTTTAGTCCAAATCTGACCGGACCAGGGGCGAAACCTTTGCCAGAAACTTCATTTAGGACGCTTGCTTTCTTCAGGGCTATTGTTAGGATGAAAGATTTTTTCAGGGTCATTGTTTAGGGGGTTGTCTATAGCAGGAAATTTATATAACTTTCCTGGAAAGTTACTTGCAAGAATCTGTTTTGTTCATTCTTTTTGTTAAGTTTAATATTCCAAGATTCTTCAATCAAAAATCACTTAATCTGTGCGCATATATGCTGATGCATTATCAGAACTATACTTAACTAGTTCTCAAACAACCACTTGCATAGGATGTTGTTAAAACCCAGACCAGACCGTCCAGTCGGACCGGTACAATTGGGACCCGGCAGCTTCTCCAGTCCGGTTCTCAAGGGGGTTTTTGTAATATTTCAAATCTATAGGGACTACCTTGAAATTTTATATGGCTTTTTGGATATTTATCAAAAGTTTAGGGATTAATTGGTAATTTTTTGGGGTATTTTTGAAATAAATAAAAATTGTAGGGACTAACTAAAAAGTTTTAGGGGTATTTTTGCAATATACTAAAATTTAAGAGATTAATAATAATTTTTTAAAATTAAATTATTGCTGACATCACCGGTCCAACCGATTGACCAGTGACCCGGACAGCAGAACGGGTTGCCCTCCAGTCGGGTTTTAAAACAATGCATGTTAAACATTTCGTGAAAGGTAAAATTGTTCCAAGATTCTTCACTATAAGTTGCTTAATTCTTTTGACATATGATCGTCGAAAGCAGGTGAAGATGGGACAGTCGAGAAACACACTGTGAAAGAATATTTGTGATCACTAGTTCAATCTTATTTGCTTAACAACATCCTATGCAATTCTGCTCATGGCTGTTGGAGGACTAGTGTATATTTTTCATCTTTGAAGCTTGTTTGCCTCAGAACCTGTCGCGTAAGGCTGATATTTGCTGTTGTTGGAGGGCTGGTGTCTGCATATCTATCTTCTTTGAAGCTTGATTGCCAAGCAACCTTATGCGCAACACTGCTATTGGTATATTTATCATGTTTGTTGAAGTCTGCTTGCACGACAACTTCTTGCCCGAAGCTACTCTTCATTGTTTGTGTTTTAGCATCCTCGTCAGAGTTGCCTGAAGTTTCCAGCGGCATAGAACCCTTCTTCCAATCTCCATTTCCAGGGCTTCCAAAGTTGCTCTCTGCCTTGTTTTGCAATGATTGGCTTTGTTTAAGGCTGCCACCAGTCTTTGCTATAAAATCCTAATTAGAGCTTCCGGAAGTTTCTGGTGGTTCATAACTGCTGAATTCTTGGTTCTGATTCTGTTGGTCATACGCCTGTCCGGAGCTGCTATTATTCGTCAATGTTGTTCTATTGTCGTCTGCATATCGTCCACCATTCTTGGCAGCGTAATCAAGTGTTGCGAAACCATTTTGTTTGTTATCCAGCAGAGACATTTCCGGATAACTGGCCTGTTATCCATTTCAAGATTGACCCTCGGTTGTGGAAGAACTTTTCTTACCACAACACCACTCAAAAACTTTCCCAGCAACTTGGTTCATGACTAATGATTTTTCCAGGGACATCTTGTGCAACGCTTACCAGTAGCAGGCATATTTTCAAAGTTTGAATGAAAATAATTTTCTTCTGTGCTTAACTACAAATTTCCCTTGTATATTGCATAATAAGTGAAATAATCCTCCTGAAAAGTTCTCCAGAAAGAATATTTCTCCTGGAATACTTCAAAACAATCTGTTAATGCCTTTTGCACTGGAAAGTTGCTCTCAGATTCTTCAATTAAGAGTTGCTTAATTTCTGTGCAAATTATAGACAATTGATGTTACAAGCAAGAATCAGAACCATAATTAGAATATATACTGAACTGTAAACACTTGAAGATGTGAAACTGAGAGCACCCGATAATTCGCCTATCATATTTGCACAAAGCTTGCCTGTGTATTTGTAAAACATTACGCACTGAAAGCTTAAGGCTTTGAAAAGTACTAATGTGTGCTATTACTCTAATATTTTGTCATGTGATTGGATATAGCACCAGAACCATTGCATATCACTATGTATTACCAGAATCAGTTATCAGGAAGGAATATGAGTTTGCATTGTATTCTCTATACAAAGGCATATAAACTACACAAATCTTGCAAATATGTATATTATAAGACTTTAAAACTTGTTGCTTGAATGTGATATATAAGGAAATTCAGAATCTCAGTTGATATTAGTTTTACTTATATTAAGCAGATTAAAATATATTCCTTTTTCATTGACAATCAAATCAATCACCACTTCGTATTTGCTCTAATAAGAAACTCGAATCGGGAATGTCAGTGCTTTTACTAAGTAGAGCTTGAGTCTTTGTCAATGGCATGGATTCTTTTACATCATTTTACTTTATTCAAGCCATTTCTTTAGGTTGCCATATATAGTGATAGGACACTAAACAACCCAGGAGGTTCAGAGGAGGGTACCAGCCTAGCACCAAAGTGTACGTGAAGAAGAATAAAGTGGATGAGTAGGCTGGATGGGAGTTGGTTAAAAAGAATATCTTCGTGGCAATAGAATTAGCAGAATGGTTTGGGTATAAGACGGGAATGAAATGTGTACAGGGTATCATAGGATTCATAGAGTTGTATTGGGAGGCCCCTAGCTCCTCGAAGTGCTAGTACTATCACTTTTACTTCCTTTCATTTCTGTTCTTTCTTTATTTTGCCATTATTGTTCTTAGTTCTGGAATGTCAATTACTGCAGTTTATTAATACAAATATCAAAGGAATATTCAGTGTTTAAGCTTGTTCTGTGTGTGCGTTGAGTTGATTGTGGTTGAAATCTTTGGATTCTTATCATTTGGTATTAGAGCCAAGGAATTGTTATGGTTAATACGAGAATGGAAGCTAGGATTGATGGATTGGAAAAAGATATGGGAAGTGTTAAGGAGGACATCGGCAGTATTAAGGGGTACCTCGTAGAATTAAGGGAATGGACGCGTTTGAAGGATGAGAAGGAGAAAAGTGTTGCTCAAGGGAAAAGTAAGGGAGAGTCATCGGAAATCTGGTGATTAAAGAAGAAGGAAGCCCAGAACGACTCAGAAATAGTGAGAGCAATGGAGCTGATCGGAAAAAAAGAAAGTTGGACTTACCTCTGTTTTACGGCAAAGACCCGAATGGTTGGGCTTTTGGAGCCGATCGGTACTTCAACATCAACAAGATCGCCGAGGAGGAGAAGATGGAATCAGCGGTGGTGTGC